TATCAATGACAGTGGCCTATTCTCACCCGCCCGGAAGTTCTCGCAAGATCAACTCCTCCCCTCTTCTCTCTCTCTCTGTCTCTTTCTGAATACTGTCCATCGGTGTGGACGATCAAATTGACCAAAACAAAGTTAAAAAATGATGTTAAAACACAAAAGTAAATTAATTTGGTTGTCTACAAAGATGCTACGGCTATTTAACTTTTCAAATCGAGCCGAACTACGCGGGTCGCCATTTTGTTTTGCCTGGAAATTCTCGCGCTACTCCTCTCTCTCTTTCTCTCTCTCTCTCCACTGCCCACAGACAAAATTGTACGCTTTTAGTAGGCTACAGTTGTAATGGAACGTTTGTTCATGGCACAGAATTCTACAATTTTTCTGTTATCACAGTGTAGAATTCTGTGGTTAGGGGGAACGCAAAATTTGGTGAACGCGCACCGGGTGAGAATAGCCACAAGACTCGCCTGCACTATTCTCACCCCGGGTGAGAATAGAGGTGGCCTTTATCAATTGGATCATCCACACCGATAGACAGTATTCCAAAATGAGGAAAAGCAGGTCTTGTTTCGCACCGGGTGAGAATAGCCTACGCTGGCAATTCTCACCCGGGGTGAGAGGTAGATCGTTTTTCTATTCTCACCCCGGATGAGAATAGCCACTTCCAACACCAAAAAGACGCAGACGCAGGCTGTTGTGTCATCGTCGGAAGGAGAAGAAAGGATTCTCTCACTCATCAGGTTCAGAAGACACACTGTACACTGTAGGCTACTAGAAATATCTAGATCTAGATTCTACACCTCTTTTTGGGAAGATTAAAGAATACTGGACCACACTCGTAGTCGTACATTATTGCGCGAGGGCGAGAAAGTGGGGTTGGTGGGGCAGGTGGTTGGGGTGGAGGAGAGGGGAGGGGGGGTTCAGGGGGGTCTCCCCCCTGACAAAATTTTAATGAATAGATCTACCGGTCCGAGATTCTCCATTGAGAGATATTAAAAACAGGAAAATTATGAATTCCTAAGGTTGAGACTCAGTCCGCTGGTCCGGTATGCCTTCTTCAATCTTACCCTATTTTCTGTCACTACTCGGTCCGGTAGGCTGTCAGTAACGTCTTTAACAGTAGTAAGTGGTAGATCTAGATCTAGATCTAGATCTAGTCTAGACTATCTAGATCTAGATTCTAGATCTAGAATCTATTATCTAGAATCTAGATCTAGAATATATATATCTAGGGTAAGATTGTACTTTACCGGACCACCGGTCGGAACTACTTTCGCTGTGGCGCCCCTGGTGCCTAGTGGCCCGCTGTTCTTCGTTTCCGAGCTCCCCTACTCAGTTTTCTACGTCCTCACTCTTCAACTGCCAGCAATCGACTGCCGTCTCTTACCGGGTTTTTCAGTCATCACGACTGTGCCACTGTGCCCTTTGACCCATGACCCTGACACCTTGAGGCTAATTGGTCAATCTAATCACGTGGTCCACTATTCTTATTTGCTCGCGACTCTGCTGGCTTGGCCTAGGCCGAGGCTACCAAAATAAATCCGGTATCCTCGGCCTAGGCCCTAGGCCTCTACTCCTGGTCCGGCAAAGTACAATGGAGGGCTACAGATGGGCACGAGAGCTCATTTGCATAATTGCAACCCCATTGGCCCTGCTCGCGACTTATCATGCTATTGTTTATATGTGTGTGTGTGAGGTCTTTAAATATGGTGGCCAAGGGGGGCTAGCCCCCCTGAAACCCCCCATTCATATGTAAACACGACTGTCCGCTCAATGTTATTGTTTCGCATTTTTGTGTGTTTTCTTTATTATAGTTGACAGCGGGGCAAGCCCCCCTGAACCCCCCCCACCCCACTGTTGGTATGATACACGGTGGTCCACCAAAGTTAAATCCCCTGCCCACTCTCAACCACCACCACCTCTCGCTCACCTCGTCTCGCCAGTCGCCGCTGACTTCGCTGTGCGTGCGCGAAGTCGCCCGCGGAACTACCTTTTGTCCGCACGCAGAGTACTATGAGTGCGTAGTTAGGCTAGGCGTGCGTAGTAATCACGGGCCGAGACGGGTGGTCCGGTAAAGTACAATCCAGCCATATCTAGATCTAGACTCTCTAGATCTTGATCTAAATCTAGATCTAGATCTAGATTTCTAGATCATGTCTTCTAGAATCTAGTAAGTGTAGTGTGTAGGCCTCGCCTAGGCAGAGTGTGTAAAGACAAGTCACAAAGGACTGTTGTCATAATTATTTTTTTTAACCTCAAGGATACGATACAGGTTAATTATGACTTATAATTAAGAGTAAATACACCGATTTCAACTCACTGATTTCACATTAAGAGTCAAAGTGTAGAAAATTGCTGAAATTTTGAGGCAATCCGACCAATCTGTTTTGGAAGCCATTTTGACGACCTATGACCTATCACCAGCTGGCTACAGTGCTGTCATCCAGCGGTGAAAAAAATTATTATTCCCCCTGTTCTAGCCTAGTCATCCATCAGTCGCCAGAAGGTGCATGGTCACCGCCCGCCAGACCGCCGCCACATGTTACAAATTATGGTAGCGGCGTGACCTAGGCTACGTCATAATAATATACAACAGATAAAGATCTTAGCCAGTGCTTGGAAACCTTTTTATAGCCAGCTCCCACTGTTGCCCCCTTAACTTTAGTACCGCCCATCTAACTGTATTTTCATTCAAGCAAAGTATTAAGTAATAAGGCCTACCTCTGTCATGATCTAAGTTATTCCCACGTCTAATAAAATGACAAAATCGCCCACTACGAGTACCAAATGTTCTCTATTACCAAAACGTAGGTAGATCTATTAGAGAATCTTTTTTTACCAGTACAGCGGGAGGTAATAATAGATCGTCATACTGGTGTGCGAGTTCAGTAGGCTATTTTGGACTCGAATCCGTCGAGTCTGATTAAAAATCTTTGGATTAATTATAGTTATAGAGTGAGTACCTACTCGATTCCTGACCACAGACAATGCATTATGTGCTAATGCCTAGAGTCATTTTAAGACACCCCCCCCC